CGACACCTATGAAAGTGCGCGGTAATATGCTGCATAACGAATCGCCTACAAATCTTGTAAGTGGCGGGAGTGAAAAATCTCCAACGCGAATCACACCTCACGCCTCGCCCATACCAACAACGTTACCGGCGAACGTACATCAGGTTCRTGAATGATTTAATCATTGATTTATTATATGTATAACCTTCGGTCTAAAAATATATTTAATGCAGGAGAACGTAGGTGGAACCATCTATTTTTACCCAACTGCCAACCATACGACCGCCGCCAACAATAGTGCAGTGGTGAATAATGTTGTTGACCCCGTTAGTGCGCATCACGCCCCACCTTCGGTGGTGGCACCAATACCAGCAGTACAACCGCCACTGCTATATACCGGCCATCATGTGTATCCAGGACCAGCTTCCAATTTAATTGCATTGCAGCCTAAAACACACTTGGAATCTGCCTTCTTCCTACCTGATGAGATGCGTTCAGAAATTCTTGCCCGCAACGAGATCTCAAATTTAATGCTGGACCCAGCCGACGTGGCACAAAATGCCCTTCCACCGGAAGTAGACAATTATCACTCATTGTACCCCCTGGAACCAGTTCAGGCACTGCACGGAAAAATCACTATTCTTTCATCCACCTATAAGGCAACACATAGCACTACTGGCATTAAATATTGCTTACGGAGATTACATGGTATGTGTAACRGCCTAAGTTATTTAATGTAAAGTAACGTAGATTAACAAAAGTGATTAGCTTGTATTTTTAGCTATACTTATTTCGTGGATTGTATGATCCCATATCGTAAATAGTATTAAACATAGATAAAAACAAGAAAAAACGTTAACTTCGGCTGCAGCGAAGCTAATATACCCTTCACAAGGGCATTTCTTTTAGTAACAATGTGTCCAATTTGTATGGAAGCTATATGCTATAGTAATCCGATCTAAACAATTTTTTCGGAGATTATATTACTACCTTAAGAAGATACTACGTGAAATGCGAAAGTTTTCCATATAAGCCCTTGATTCCGATCGTTCGGTTTGTATGACAGTTATATGTTATAATAAGCCGATCTGAACAATTTCTTTCGATATTACATTATTTCTATGAACAATAACTCATAACAAATTTCGTGAAGAAATATCGCCAAATGAGAAAGCTTCCCATGCAAGTATTTGATTCCAATCATTCAGCTTGTATGGCAGCTATATGCTATAGTTAACTGATCTGAGCAATTTCTTCGGAGATTACATTGTTGCCTTAGAAAATAATCTATACCAAATTTCGTGAATATATTTTGTCAAATSTGAAAGTTTTCCACACAAGAACTTGATTCCGATCGTTCAGTTTGTATGGCAGCTATATGTTATAGTGGTCCGATAGCGGCCGTTCCGACAAATGAGCAGCTTCTTTAAGAGAAAATGACGTTTGCAAAATTTTAAACCGATATCTTAAAAGCTGAGGGAATTAGTTCGTATATATACAGATAGATGGACATGACTAAATCGACTCAGCTCAACATACTGATCATTTATAAATATACTTTATAGAGTCTCCGACGCTTCCTTCTGGATGTTACAAACTTTGTGACAAACTTAATATACTCTGTTCAGGGTATAAAAAAGGTCGTCCATGTTAACACCTTTGATAGAAAATGTTKAAAATTCTAAATTTTCATGAAAAATAACATAAACTTGTATTCTAATTTTGAAGGTTTTCGCCTCCAATCAACAAAATGTATGGCTGTAGTAGAGATGTGGAAGAAATTGCAACATTCGAATGTGGTACAACTGCGTGAGATATTCACGACAAAAGCATTTGGTGATAATTGTATGTAAACTTATTGGTTATAGACTTTACTGTATATATAARTATATATAGATATTTTTTTCTTTTATAGCGTTAGTATTAGTTTATGATTATCATCCCGGTTCACAAACCTTGCTTACAAAGTACTTTACGCCTACACAGGAGCCCAATGGTTATCCCGATCCATTCCAAGGCGATGCGCGCCCATTCAGGTACGAAATAAGTAATTTTTTGATAAAACAATTAATTAAAACAATTTTGTTCAATCTAACTCAATTTTAATTTGAGTATAATTTGTTTTTAAAAAGGTAATGTTATATTTAACTTACTTACATAGTATAGGATATATGTATTTTTTTCTCTTGAAGCCACAAAAGTAACTTACAACGTACSAACAATGGTCCGTTATTGCCGGAAGCGAGTATTTGGTCAATTATCATGCAACTGACAGCCGGTTTACGTGCAATCCATCAGGCAGGACTCGCCTGCAAGTGAGTCGAAGATCAGAAGCTATTCCATTATATTTGTTTTTAATTAGAAATTGAAATTCAAAATCGAAAGGGTCTTGGATCCAACAAAAGTACTAGTAACTGGTAAACGGATGCGCTTGAGTTTTTGTGGTACAAGTGACATAGCACAATTCGACCCGAATGCAGCTAATCCTATGGCAGTGGCTAGCATGCATCAGCAAGTATATATCTATATATTCTATTTGGTACACTACCCACGAATTAACCTATAATTGTAAATTCCTTTGCAGGATGATTTGACTGCCTTGGGTCGGCTGGTATTAGCCTTGGCTTGTCGATGCTTACAATCAGTTCAGCGAGAGAATGTTCAAAACAGCATTGAGATGGTATCACGTCACTATTCTACTGATTTGCGTAACTTTATTGTGTAAGTTTTTGTMTAAAGAAATTGTTGTAACATTCCCGCACTAAACCCTTTTTTATTATAGTTATCTATTTTCAACAACGCAACGACGCTCGGTAACTGATCTTATGCCAATGATTGGGGCACGTTTTTACACACAAATGGATGCATTACAAAGCCTGTGTGACATGCAAGAAGACGAGTTGGCTAAAGAAATGGARAATGGTCGACTCTATAGAATATTGGTGAAATTAAACTGCATAAATGAAAGACCTGAGTATGCACTTAATTCTTAATATAATATGTTTATATGTTAGTAAAGAATGTTAATATAAATAATTGACATATTTGAATTTCTATTTTAGTTTTAATATGGATTGTACTTGGTCAGAGACTGGTGATAGATATATGCTGAAGTTGTTTCGTGATTATTTGTTTCATTCCGTCACAGAAGATGGTCGTCCATGGCTGGATCACGCACATATCGTAAACTGTTTAAATAAATTGGATGCCGGCGCATTAGAACGAGTACTTCTTTAATATAATCCTCAATATAAATAACTAATATGATGTAGATGTGATGATTCAGTTATTAACTATTACCTCATTTCTTTTTTTTAGGTTCAACTAATGTCGCGTGACGAACAGTCCGTTTTGATTGTTACATATGCTGAACTCAAAAATTGTCTTGAAAATGCATTTTCCGAATTAGTGATGAATGCTCCGACATAATGCTTTCCAAACACTGACAGAGTCTCCACCATCAGTCCCGCCACATTTGGCATCTCCATTACTACAATTGGCACTTAAAGCAAATATCACAGTAACAGTCGCATTATTTGGTAGCATTAGAAATTATTGTAACTGTTAGTGTGAAGACCACCGCCTATCTTGAGGGGGATAAAATGCGCGAGAATATTTGTAAAATAGAAGAAATCCAGCCTTATATCTACAAATCATCAAATCCATCGAAACATTAATAATGTATTCCCCCTCTCTTTTTTCGAACTGCATATCTATTTATCTCTGCGACATATAATTATTAAGCTAAAAAGATTTTAAAGTGGAAACCGAAAAAAATATAAACCGAAACTTAAAATAAAGCAAAGTACTTTTTAAAAGTCTTGATTGATCAGAAGAAAAACAAAAACCAAGGCGAAATCTAAAGTAAAAGTAAAAAAGGAAAAGAACAAGTAATTTTGCTTGTGATGTTAACCAAGTGTTTGGCGCTGACTATTGCATACTAATAAGATATTTTGTTGTTGTTGTACAAAAAGAATGACGGAGTAAATAATCTATTTTTACAGAAGTGAGGAAAATTAAAAAAAAACGAAAATTGTGTTAAAATTTTAAACAACAAGCAAATACGAAATCTGAAAGAAGATTAATGTTGAAGAAATCCGACTAGATGCAGCTTATGCGTCTGGTTTTTCGAAGCGATCTTTTTACACTCCTTTGACTGGGAAATATATGGAGACTTAATATAGTAATTTATTGTTTTTTTATTTCAGTTTATATTAATATAATATTTTTGTAGTATTTCGTTCTACGCTGTAAAGGTTTTTTTCGAAATGCAGTGTTATGTTAAAAATTCCTTATGCAAGGACAAATAGGTGAATTTCACAATTTTTATATTGAAATTTTCATTAAGATCAAATACTTATGTGTTGCGTGCAGTTTCTTCCTATTTAGTTTAAAATTGTATCGTTCATACCTCAGTGATAAAAAAATATATAAAAAATATACAAATTATCAGAATTGTAGACCTTCCTGTTCAGACACGCTTGATAAGACCAATGCAACATCAAAAAGCCCAACTTATTTCTTCTRAAAGAAAATTAAGTAATCTTAAATTATTGTAAGACTTATATTTAGAAATAAAACATAAAATGCAAACAAAAACTTATTATTTGCGGTAATTTTCTTCTACAAATAGTTACTTACAGTGACCAGCTAATATAGAATATATAAACAATAATTTTGACAATTTTACGTTTTTAGTACTTTTTATTGGAAAAATATTTCATTGTGCACTACATGTTTACATATGTAAATGGCGTTAAAAAATTACACAAATTTTTCTTACATTCTAGAATAAAATAGAGCGTTGTAAATTGTGCTCAGATTTTTAAAATTTCCTTTTGGACGGAATGGTTTTGAGAAATCTATAGTTTATAATTACATAATAAACTTACTGTATTCGAATTTAAAGTTGATTACTCAAGGCACTTATTTTTAAAAGGATTTTGTGTCATATAATGTTTTGCATATACAAAGTTTGTACTATGTCTCAACGTGGATGTCGTCGAAATATTTATGTTTACATTTTTAGAATTATTCGTATTATATGGAAAGTGGATGCAAAATAAAAATTATAAATTGTAATTTTAGTTAATGCATTTGTAAWTTTAGTTCAGGCATAACTGATCTCGTGCTCATAACTTTTTTCATCCCATTCATGATTATCGGGAAGTGCGTGATGGCGTAAACCACAAAGACGTGGCCCAAATCGCAATATTAATATAATGACACCCACAATAAAGAGAGCAAGGGCAGCTACAGCTGGAAAAAACAAAATAAATGCCATCTTGCTACTGTTGTCTGATTTAGATATCGCTTTCACGCTTTTGCAGTTCAACGTATTCTTCACGTTGTCGTTGTTGATGTAATGTACGGCCTTGCGGACGTTGTGGTCTTTGTTGTTGCAATTGATGAGAAGGTGGTTCAATTTGTATTTGTTGTTGCACGTGTACTTCCGGTGCTTCGATGTCTTCGCGGAAGATATGCGTTTTCGGCTATAAAAAGTAAAGAAATTATACATAATATACTTTCCAACAGGACATTTTAGTTTATTTTACTAAAATCATGTTTTCATAAAACTGGAATTAACTCATTTGTAGAGAAATTTTAGATCATTTTGTAGAGAAAGAACACGTTTAGTTTGTAAGGACATCGTAGATTTGTGCGCTACATTTCTTTTCCATATTGTGCTATTAGAAATCTCATAAAAAAGAAATTGTATCTTAGTAGCTCAGAAGAAATATCTGGAAATATTAAGCGGTCTTTTAAGAAAATAGCAAAAGAGGTCGTGACTAACCGTAAAATAATTTCTCGCCTTATTAAACGCTTTACGGAAGATGTGGGCATTGATAGGCAGAAATATTCTGGTAAAAAGAAGGGGCCACATGATCGTAAGAAAGCTAATTGTAACCATTCGCAAGAAAAACCCAAGCATTTCGAGTAGGAAATTGGCGAGGAAGGCTGACTGACTAGATTCTTTCGTACGCAGTATGCGGCGGATAAAGTGTCTTAGTTTTTACGGCCTTCTCTCAGCTACTTGGACAGAATTTTTACACAGTCGATTATCMAGGATGTGTTGCGGTTTTAATAAAAAGGGAGATGAAGACAACAAAAAAGTGACTAAAAAACTTCAAGACTTTGAAAGAAAGTCTTCAGCATCTAGAAGGGGACACTACCATAAAAGCATTAACGGATGGGGTTCGGAAAAACTAACATTTTTTATTAATTAAACATGATTCTTTATACTGAGTTCTGCTATTTTTCAAATCTAAAATAAAAATTTCAAATAAAATATTTTAGTTTATAAAAATCGAATTACTTCTTTAAACGATGATTTTTGTAACGTACAATTTTATTTGACACAGTTATTATTTGGAAAGTTATTAAGATGACAGTCCTTAAATAAATTTGATGATCTGCTAGGCATTTTTAACCAAAAAATCTTATTTCAGAATTGAGAAAAACTCAATGGTTTACTTATTGATATAGTAGAGAATGAGGAATTACAAGAGATTTTGACTAGAACTTGTTACTTTGCTATAAATTAATCAACAAGAAAATGTCCAGAGTTTCAACCACATCATGTAACCACCCCTATCAACACATTTAGGGGGCCTACAACGTGTCATAACGCATCGTAAAATCATTAGTTTTTTCACTTGTTTAATAAAAATTGTTGTTGTGTTGCATACAAAAATGAGTTTAGAGAATTGAAATTTTCAACGCAACGTTATCGATTCATTCATTATATGTTATAACTTTATGAGGCTAATTGAGAAATGTAATTGCATACTCATTTTTGTATATAAAAAAACAATTTTTTTAAACAAGTGTAAAAATTTATGAATTTATGATGCGTTATGGCAAGTTGTGTGTACCCTAATTATAGGCTTTATACTTTTATACTCTATAAGCAATAAGTCAAAACAATTGTAGTGTTCTATTCAGTTCAAAGACTTACGTAGAATCGTTCAAAATATGAGGCGTCTTTTAGTTCTGTGAAGTCCAAGGGTGGCTGCAAATGTGGCGTTGCTGACCAAATGGAAACCAACCATCGGTTACCTGTTAATCCGATTACATTAATATTTTCAAATTACTTTTATAACTCAAATTTAACCTGTGTGCCTATCCTGCCAATATTTACGATGTTTTGAGCAACACCCTAATATTATATTTAAAATGATAATGGAACCAAGTACGACAGTACAGACAGCGATCGTCACATAAAAAGGGGAGAAATTTCCATAGATATGTCCAGTAAAATATGGATTCTTTTCATAAGCCGTACGTTCTTCAATTGTTGACATAGTTAATTTACCTCAATCTTCACACGACTGCTCTGGATAGAAGAAAAGCTAACGCTACTAAGTGCAAAATTATCTGAAAGTGCAGTCCAAGATTTCATATAAGTCGCTTATTGGATTTAAATTTACTTCTAACAAATATAATCAAAACGAAGTCAACGATTGTTGGTTAATTTATTGTCACGTATGTATGTACATATATATATATATATACATAAGTTGTCTTAAAATTGTGTTGGAAAATATTAAGCGGAATTTTTTCGAAGCGTATCCTTCAACAACAATGTTAAAATCATTTACGAAACGTTTTATTCATTATATGTAATATTATATATTAAAAGACACTTTTAATGTAAAAACCTTAACTCACACTATCCAATTAGAAATGAAAACAACGCCCTATTCGTACTCTCAGTGAAAATCAAAATATATCGATATAAAATCGGAAATGAATAGGAGATAAGGGATGGTAAGATTTCGATAAGAATAAAATAAGTTATATTACAAGGAAACGAAAAATATATTACACTTAGGCTGTATTCCAAACGGCAGGAAAATACAAATTTTGAAGAAAGAAATTGAATATGTATTATAAATTTGTAATTATGCTTGTCTCCACGATGTATTCTTATAGTCCAAATAAATTACTTTCTGTTACAAAATTATTGAATTAAGAAAATGGTCTTGTATCACCTGGGTTGCGTGATCACCAAGTAAAACTGCTACTGTTCAAACAAATAAGAAATCTCCCTGGAAATTCAGACATTGCAGTCTCAGGAGACACCTAAGTAATATGGGCTAGTCTTTATCTGTGTAGATTCTGTGAAAAGGAGACAGAAACTCCAGAGTTATAGAGTGCGACGCAGACATGAAGTCTTAGGATCCCCGTATACTTGCAGGGAATGCTTTGACACTCTAGCACCAAGAAGTGAGTCTTTGTGAAAAGGGTCGAAATTTTAAGGTCCTGGAAAAATTAAGTAATAATATAATAAGAAGCATCTTGCGCATATTCGCTTTGGATATTGTAACAGATTAAACTCCTACCTATCCAGAGTAGACCCAAACATATCTAATAAATGTCTCGCGTACAATGAGTCTTTGCATGACACTGGCCCACTCTTTGTATACATTTTTATTCCCACAAGCGTTCTTTACTACTCGTGATGTCTATGTACATACGTCCATATGTAGACCCTCGAAAATTTCATTCATTCATTTTACAAAATGCAAGTAAATGTAGGTATGTAGATACATATTGGGCGCATGCCCACTATGTTGTTTACATTTATAATTGATAATTCTCCAAAAAAATGCCGCCTATGACCCACTTATGCAAACATTTTCGAGAATACGTACATACATGTATGTACATAAATATCTTTACTATATTAGGAGACAAGCACTTGTTGAGTTTGGCCGGCATTTACCATATGATAAGCAATTGTAAACAATAATTAACCGCAGGCGCAGATTTTAGCTGGAGCATGCGCATTGCTCCATTAGAAACGTTACACCGGATGAGCTCCTGTCGAAATCTATTTTTCCTTTTGTAACGCATAGCTTTAAATTGATGAACTCACTAATCTCGCAAATATTCGTAAATTTTGTGGAAAACGGTGTAGACACAAATTTTCTTAGAAAATTTTTTTTATAAAATTATTTAAATATATCGCATAAATAGAAATAGGGCGTTAATTTTATAACTATTACTGTAGCTGAAACAATTATCTACACATTAAAAATGATTCAACTCTTCCCWGCGGTAATAACCAACTATTTTTGTAATATTCAATAACAGAGTGGCGGATTCCTATGAAAAAAAAAAATCGTTTACTTGCTGATTTTTTCAAATACAGCTCAAAGCACAAAATTAACTAATTAATTTAAACGAAAAATGATGTGCAAAACGGGTATTAATTATATATTAATATGTTTTTTTGTGTTATACCCTAACGGTGCTAACTTTGCACCAGGAGAAAAAATCAATTACAACCTGTGAGTGCATTTTATCCGTTCAATGTTTGTTTCGAACTCATCTTTAATAACACATTTTAATTTCAACACAGTGCCAATTCCTGGGCTGATAAATTGGGCATGGAATTGTTCCATTTGGGTGACTTTATCACGAGAAGAAAAGAAGTTCAAGAGGTAAACAGATGTTGCATCTAAGATTATGACCATTAAAGTATTGATTTTACAAATAAAGTTTGCCAAAAGAAAGTGGGTTAATTGCTCATTGACGATGCCATTAGTAATTTATAGAGATTGTGTGCTCTGTGGGTTGCTTTTCATAGTAAGATTTTAGAACATTTTCTTATTTCTTCCATTTTCAATAAATTTCCATTTTAGATATTCCTCCCTTTAAATCGAATATAATATTTTTTTCATAAATATTATTGTTCGTATGAAACTAAATTTATAAGAAAATAATTCGAGGAAGTCTTCGGTTTGTGCTTCAAACCGCTTTTGCAATTTTAAATTAGGTTGACAAACCGAGATTTCAGATCGGTTCAATGGTTCRAGAATTAAAAGCAAACCTTCTATTGATTATACATTTTATACACAGCACTTTATTCACGGATAAGAAAACGTGAAAAGTAACTTTATTTAAAAAAATATCGTATCTGGAATAACAAATTGTACAAATGACAAGCATTTGGTCTTTTCAAGATACATATGTGATGATTGAAAATTACACAAAAGGAATCATTAAACCTTAGGAGTTGTGAAATCTTTTTTAAAATCATAGCAATAAGTTATACGAACATGCAAACATTATGTTCAATTGTAGAGAGCTATTTAATATTTTTAAACTTACGTAAATATTTCAAATATATTTTATTGTCTTTACAAAGAGTTTTAAGGAAGCACAAGTAGTATCGCGATCAGGAGCCAAAATCGTCGAAAATATGGCACACGATATAAAAATGATGATGGATTTAAAAATAAGTGCAGTGCGGGTAAGAAAGAATATATATGTATGTATATTATA